TTCCTTGGTATTCGCTGGCGTTGGCAATGAAATGAACTTTATTAACACTTGTGCCTTCCTCATATCTCATATACCCCAGTTGCTTCATCCAACGATCCTTCATGGACAGCTGTTCACCTTTCAGTATTCTGAGTGCGCCGAAAGCTCATCCAGCCGTCCCCCCCCCCCCTCCCCCCCCTTCTCGGCTCCGCCACCATATATATATATATATGCCTTTCAATAGATCGCACCACTTGTTTTCAACCCTGGAGGTAATACCTTGTATTCATATTTGGCGTGAGGTGTGGTGGAAGCCTAAAACTTTTGGCTTGCCTTGTCCACGAGTATACAACAGTAGCCATCTTTCACAACCCAATTGTCGAAGTATTTGCAGCCCGCAAACGCATCGAAACACTGCTCGATAGAGACAAGCGGTCAACCTTTATGTACAAGAATTTCATTGATTGCTCTCAAGTCTGTCACTAACATTCACTTGCCATTCTTTTTCGGTATGAATAGGCAGGCCGAAGTATACTCAGAGTTTGAATATTGACGAAAGCCTTTCTTCCAAAGATCGTCTGCTAGCTCCTCGTATGCTTCTTGCTGTATACTTGCCAGCGGGTATTGCTAAACATATATGGGCTCCTCGTGCTTCATATCTAACCGCACCGGATCAATACTCATAAATCTATGATCATCAGGCATGTGGTCGAATAAATCGGTGTGTGCTATAAATAGCCGCTCAATCTTTTCACTACCTTCTTTCAGTAAATTATCAGGGGGTTGGTACTTATATGGTAGTAGTTTAGTTCTCTCATCTTCTGAAGGTTGGTCGTATTTAACATCAACATTGATCTCTTCCTTAGCGTTTGCAAGATCAACTATATTTCAGTCCATATGTAGAACCTCCTCCCGACTCGTAAGTCGTACAGCCTCCAAAGTGGCGTTATGCAATTCTATTTCATCATTAGACATGTTAATGATTAGAGCTCAAAATCGACCTTTTTACATACCCCTTGCTCCTTTGACCAGTGACACAGCTATGAGCGATCCTGCTTCATTTTTTGGGTTGAACACTAATAGCGGTAGAGCTTTCTTCAAACCATTCGCTTCCATTTGTATAACTTGGCTGAATCCCTGGGAATCACATGACAGCCAACAACTCTGACCTCATATTCATCCCTCGTGCTTCGATCCGCAATCTTTATCTTCCTTGGTTCTTCTCGATATAGTCTTATATACATCTATACTTTTCTGCTATTCATACGGAGTTCATTCCTGACTCTATGCTCTTCAATGACGTAATGATCATAAAATGGCAATACAAGAATCAAATCTGCTCCTTCAGTTGTAATTCTTTGTAACACAGTAAATTTGTGTTGAAATGTCATCCCTTACGCACCAAAATTTAAAGTGCTTTTTTAGTGCAATTATTGCTGCCCTCCTACGCCATTGACCTTCGTGGGTGAGCGATCGACACTGAAAATGGCTGATGGACCCACCCTCTTCGACTGCTGGAATATTTTCCCTAAGATGACCGAGATCTTTGTACATTCATCGAGCAGACAATTTCATTTTAATTCTCCTGCCTCTCTGGCAACGTATGTTAGAGAGCAACTAACATTGCTGCCAACGTGATTTATCGATGCCTCCCTCGAAGTATTTCATAATTTGAATATGACTTTCGGTGTGTTGTCCTTGTCGTCGTTGTGACTATTCAGGAAATTCAATATGCTTCCTCTACCTTTGATCTCATGTGGTTCATCCGAATTACCTTCCATGTCATTATTTAGACTCGTCTGCCCTCCTGAGCATTTATTGTACACCGCGATCATTTCGTTAGTTACGGGACAATTTCTCTTCGTCTGGTATTATCGTAGCGCTGACTTGCAATTCCGCAATCATATCATCTTCCGTGCAATGCGATCTGCGATGTAACCCCATACACAGTAAGCATTCATCAGCCCGTATATTGTGTAACGATATAGGATTGTAGCTGTCGTGTGGCCGCTGTTCCTTCATCCTGATGTATGCGGTATTGTGCGGCTTGTTCTTGCCGTGATTTTTCGTCAAGTATTATCTCAGCGCTGACTTGCAATTCCGCAATCTTATCATCTTCCGTGCACTGTGATCTGCGATGTAACCCCATACACAGTAAGCATTCATCAGCCCGTATATTGTGTAAAGATTCAGGATTGCAGCTGTCATGTGGCCGCTGTTCCTTCATCTTGATATATGCGATATTGCGCGGCTTGTTCTTGCCGTGATGGTTACAGTAGAATTTGAGTCCTTTACCAAATCTCCTTCTCGCGCTTTCGTTTCAATGCCCGATATTGCTCTGTGTTGTGTGAAGTATTATTTCCATGTTGAGAGCAGTAGATTTCTGCAAGCCTTCCACCGATATGTTCGATATACCTGCTTAACACTGCCTCGCTTCATTCGTATACTTTTTTTTAGAAGATTTGCCTCTATATACAAAAGTTCTGTATCTACTCGTGTAATCGGAAACTTTTGGGTTGGCTAAAGAATTGTGCCCTGCCGTTACGTATGAAAGTCTATTAGTAGTGAAAGCTTCGTGTTCTTCCCAATTGCAGAGAGCCGCTTTCATAATTGGTGTGAGAGGCTGAATCCACTTTGAGAATGTAGTGTACATGTCATACATTCCCTTTCCTTCCAAAATAGGTTTGTGTTCATAACGCTGATCGACAGTGATTTTAAACATGAGAGCCTCTTGAATGAGAAGCACTAATGCTGGAAGGATAGAGTCTCGATATCTCAACATTAGTCTGCCCATTAAATCATCTGCTGTCCGCCTCCTCGTGCCCAGCTCGTAGTGGCGTTGCTCGTTAGCCTGCTTCAATTGCGTGATCATAGATCGCTTCCATTTTTGTCAGCGCAAAGTTCTGCTTTGGGATCGGATAAAACTGTGCCAACTTAACGTTTTGCGTCGTCAGCCCGAGAGTAAATTGAGACTTGCTCTCA